AAAATTATATACCTTAACAGGTTCCCCTTGACATTTTTAGTCAGTCGTGTTCGACTCTAGGGGGCAGTGCTCATCCCCGTTTCCAAGACGTAGAGCCAGCGTTTGTCTGAAGACAGTTTCCGTTGTCACGTGGCCAGCGCGACTTAGACCTGGAATGCTGTTTACCTTCCCACTGAGATGGTACCTATTTTTCTACTCGCATTTGCATGTTTTCGAACTGCTAGGTTGGCGAGGAGTTGTGACAAAGCGACGGGAGCTCACTCCGTCACGTGGATTCGATCTTACGACTGCTTGGTCTTCTGACCCTGCAGCACACAAAGCCTTCTGCAGTTTAGCCCGCAGCACCACCACGTCCCTCTGGGGCAAATCATGGCAAATGAAATTTCTCTCAAATTGATTTCATTGTAGATCCCTACTTCCCTCCTCCTTTGTAACAGTAGTTCATTATGCATCTCAAAGGCTAGCCATTATAATTGGTTAGTGAGTTTATGAAATCAATTGCTAGCAAGTGCTAACTGGTAACTTCCAGATGGAATTATTTCAGAGTAAAATTGTAGGTGGGAGGTGAAATCCAAGGATGCAGAGAGCTGCTAATGAAGTGACAGCTTCATCTCTCAACAGATGAGTTTTATTAGTGTATCAATAGGGAAGATGGCTTGGGCACAGATCCAGGGCTGAGTGAACACATTGCTGTGATTGTCCATGTATAAAGCTTTGCTGAATGAATGGAGTAGGGCGGGGGGAAAGGAGAAACCGCTTGGACTGATTCAGCAGTCATGTACCTTTCTTTAGAAGAGGTGCTAACTCAGCTCAGTGGAAGTCACGTGGCAAACTGTGGTTAGCATTTTGTGTAGATTTCTAGAGAAAGCACCTTTGGGAACCATTCCAGGGAAAAGCTTAGACTGTGGTATTTCCATTTTTGAAAGATGAAGATTAATGCATCACTGTGGAGTATAAAGCCATTATGTTTTTATTGTATGGTTTAGGTTTTGTTATACAATGTGAATGTCAGAGAATAAAGCATACACAGATAACTTTAAATTAGAAAGGCCCTGACTTCTAAGTTTTTTTAATTTTCTTGATTTATTATTCCTTAGTGCAGTAAAACCTAAAACTTTGTAAGTTTCTCTTCTTGTTTTTGCTTTTTATTATGACTAAAATCTCCTCCCATAATTCCTTTCCAAGAATATCTAGATCAATCCTGGTATACCCTTTTTCTAAATTAAAACTGCAGGAAGACCTTTACACCCCAGAGCAATGCTTAAGAACAACTGCATATCTCCCCATTGTATAAAATAACTCCCCAGAGTATACAATCACATTGTTTTGTCCTAGGACGAAACACACATGTAAGCTATATTTGTGCTATCTTAAAATGTCATATTCCTGAGAAACAGGGTATAAATTAATGGATAGCAAATTGTTCAGGCCCAAGGTTAGCAGTGGCTGGTGCCTATTGTGCTTGGTGAGGCAGGCAAAGAAGGATTCTCTCCCTCCCTCCCTCTCTCTCTCTCTCTCTCACACACACACACACACATAGAGAGAGAGAGAGAGAGAAGGCATTCACACAGTGTTTGTTTCCCTACAACCCCACTCATTTACAGTGGTGCCTCGACTTATGAACTCCCCTGCTTATGACCATTTCGAGTTACGACAATTTCTGAGAGTGTGTGTGTGTGTGTTTGCAGAGAGGCTTTGGGCTGCCTTCTAAGGTAAAGTGCTGTTTTCGGCTTTTTAAAACCTGTTCTGGGTGGTTTTTGCAGGGTGGTTTTGAGCTGGGGGGGTTATGTTTCTGTGCTGTAATGGGTCTTGGGGGGTTTGCTTGCTTTTTGGATTTTTTCCCCATTTCCGATTGGACTTGGGGGTTTGTTTGCTTTTTGGATTTTCCCCCTGTTTCCGATGGGTCTTGGGGGGGTTGGTTGCTTTTTGGATTCCCCCCCTGCTTCGAGAGGGTCTTGGGGGGTTTGGTTGCTTTTTGGATTTTCCCCCCATTTCCAATGGGTCTTGGGGGGTTTGTTTGCTTTTTAGCTTTTCCCCCCATTTCCGATGGGTCTTGCGGGATTTCCTTGCTTTTTGGATTTTCCCCCCATTTCCGATGGGTCTTGGGGGGTTTGTTTGCTTTTTAGTTTTTTCCCCCCATTTCCAATCTTGCATGATCTGCTTGATTGATTTTTGCTTTGTCTTGTTTGCATTTGCAATGGGTCTTGCTTGGTTGATTGCTTTTCTCCCCCCTCCCTTCAGCTGGAAGGGATTAATCGTGTTTCTGACCAGTCTTGCAGTGGTTTTTTTTTTAATTTTGTGATTTTTTTCCCTTTGGCCGGAACGGATTAATTGCATTTCAATGCATTCTAATAGGAAATGGTGCTTCAACTTACAACCATTTCGAGTTAAGACCATCTTCCTGAACCAATTAAGTTCATGCGTCAAGGCACCACTGTACGTCACAACTCACTGAAGAGCCAGAAAAACACATTTTGGCCTCAGATGAGAAATGTTGTTGTTGCTGCTGCACTCTCGTTCTGGTTCTCACTCTTTGCCTGTACTAAAAATAAAGGCAACAGGGACTTGCAGTGGGTAGCCTAAGTCTGAGGAGGAGGGGCAGTGTCCCTTCTGCTCTAACAGAACAGCTTCTGCTGCTTGAGGTAGAACAGCCCCTTTGTACTTAAGTTTGCTAGCATATTGTAGCCTGGAAATCCTGTGTCTCTGTTTACCCGGCTGTTGTAAAGGAAAAGGCAGCTCTTTCCACCCACTCTTCCTCTCCTGGTACCATTTCTCTTTGCTTCAGCAGTGAGGAGGAATAGGTTGTCTGTAGGATCAGGATGTGAGTAGTGCAGAAGAGAAGCTGCATCTGCATAGTGTTTAGACGACAGGATGTCCAGGTTGTGACCTGGCAGTGTGGTTTCCAGTAATACATGGACTGCTAATGTAGACCACACATAGCTTTTTAAGGTCTTTTTTGAGTTTCCCGGGTTCATCTCATTTGTACAGACACAGATCTGAACATTTCAGCTACCACCACCACCATCATCATCATGGAAATACACTGCACACAGGTGGTGAAAAACAAAAGGAGAAAAAGCCCTCTTTGTTTCGGTGTCTGGTTGGAATTTAAATTGTGGTTGAAATTGTGAGGCAGCACATTATTTTACCATGCTGGCTTTGATACAGTAGCAGAAGGTCAGAAGAGTACTTGGGAAATGTCTGTTGCTATGTATTTGCCAGAGGCAGAATGAGTAGTGTTATTATGTCTTGTGAAACAAGGTGTGTCACTCATTTAAATGATGTTCATTATTGCTTTTATCTAAATTTAGATCTTGGGTATTTTATGCATTTTTTCAAATGAATTACATGATAAATAATAGCTTAAATACGAAAGACCAGCAGGAAAATTTTAAACTGACCATTTTGAAGACCATTTTGTGTTGGTGGGATTGCATACAAGACTGATGATGTCATCAGCTGTGGCCCTTTATTGCTAATTAAATATTTCCAGTTCCCCCTGTCCAGGTTCTGAGGCTGTCTCGGGGAAACTGCTTTTTTTCTGGGGAAGCCTCTTGGGGCCTTGAGACAGAGAGGGGATTTGAAATGCTTAATTAGTGATAAAAGACCACAGCTGATCATGTCATCAGCCTCGAACGTCTACAGCTGCACTGTGATATATAAGGCCTCAGTGGGTTGTACTAAATGATGCCTGGCTTTCATTCAAAACAAACAGCTGTCTGGAGAATGCTTACAGTGGGGTGTATCATTTTGAGCAAAACCTGAAACTTAAATCAAAGCTCTGCCAAAGTTGAAGTAACTTCAGTTTATATTTCATCTTAATTTTATGAAGGGTTTTACTAATAGCCAGAATAATTATTTCTGTCATTTCCAAACTCAATAGGATTCCTGGGGAGGAAAATATCCACTTATATTTTGAGCTGTGAACCATGTTGCTGTGAGATGTGGTGGGAGTTGAACCAAAACCCATAGAAATGAATTCAAAACCATAGATTCATTTTAAGCTCTTACGCAATGGCTCATGTACATGATCAGTAATTTTGTACATTTCTGTGGCATTTGCTTGAAATAAGTTAGTCATATTCCAGGACAGCCACATTTTATCTCCATTTCATGTTGTGGTTTGGCCCCAGTTACCCCTTCCTCTTTTCCTTTGCTCTGCAATGGCAAATCCAAAGGGTGCACACACGGATTAAAATGAGACTGGGAGGGATCTAGTTGAGGGAACTTTGCTGTGCAGTTCACAGTTGAAACAAAGAGGAGTCTCACAACTGTGATCTTACATGGCTGTGCTTACCTTCCATGACTATGTGCAGAAGAACCTTGACAATTTACCTCATAGGCCAGATCCTTTCAAGGCTTCATTCTGCCACTCAGAATGGCCATGTTACCTTATTTAAATCTAGCAGCTTTTCCAAAGATCATCTTACCTCTACTGGAATATAAGAGCAATCTTATTTAGGTTCAGCATTTGGGTTGTGAAATAATGTTGTGGGCAGAAGTCAGTCAGGGATTGGTTGCCACTTTTTCTTCTGTCAGCCTTCCTTTGACTTTAATAATACATTGGGAAACAGAAATTCAACAGAAAAAGCTCTTGCCATGTTTGCCAGGATGTCTCCATGCCATGTTGTGTGCTTATTATAGAAAAGTTTCTGGAAAAAAAGTGGCAACTGCATGAAACCCTCAATGGAACAAAATATAGTCAGTCTAGTCTCAGGAGTATATGCATGTATGCAAGGAAAAGTAATGTGATAGACCGATATCTCCCTCAAAGTACAGTGATGCAGGTCTTTAACTGTGAATCTAGATTCTGTGTGGGATGTTCAACTATGTAATGCAGGACATGCAACTTCTTAGAAGAGCTAAGATAAATTAATAATTTTCTTTTTATTATAAACCAGCTTGGGAGCCTTTGTTAGGACTGGATGGTTGTATAGCAATGTTCATATTAAATAAATAAATAATTTTTACTTCTCTCCCCTCCCTTTCTTTCCCATAAGGAGCTCATTGAGGTTGACAGTGAAGTTGTGTTTGAATTGGCTGCATACATATTACAAGTAAGTTAATATTGAATGTATTGTTTCATATTTCAAAACATCTCAATTCCTCCCCCCTCCCAAAAAAAGCATCTATTCAAAGGAGGCTTTCCTTTAAATCCAGGCTTCAGAGCAGATTCTTGCAGTGTGGCTCATATTTGCACACATCTTTGCTAGTGCTGTTCTGTGCCACTTGTGGGATCTCAGATTTGCAGTGCTTGCTCTGTGGTTCATTCACCACTCTGTCTGGGAGCTGGTTATCTGTCAAGGTATTTGAATGTGTATGTTCACAGACACTGGAGAGATATGTGGGAATAGTCAGAGAATGAAAGTCATAATATACAAGCCCCTTATTATGTGAGGAAAGAAATAAACAAGGGTTGCTTTCCTTGCTGTTAATATTTTACTTATTTATTTCAATGAATATATTTACTCATTCTGGAAGTGTAAGCTTGAGAATAGCACAATTTTGTAAACACAATCCAGCCTGCCCACATCAAGTATAGATTAGAAACCATTGCTTTCGGTGCAGGATATACGTATGAATAATTCAGAAGAAGGCACAAAAACGATAAATTATTAAAAGTAACATACCATCTTTTCACACCATTTATGTTGCCATAAAGCCCATACTTGGCATTCTTCAGAAAAATATGGCACTTCCTTAGTTTTTGCAGTCCCATCACACAGCAAAATGCAAATATTTACAGAGTACCCAGTCTGTGGCTGCATTTTAGTGTATCAAATCAAACATTTGCAAACTTCCTCCTGTTAGAATTTGCAGTCCTGTTTAAATCAGAAACCTAGCCTGAAACTGTTTCAGAAGAACCCAGTGCAAATATAACTGGGGTCACTTGCTGCCATTGTGTGTTAGCCATATCCCAAGTTTAGTTCCCAGATACAGGGAAACCATGGTTTTCCCAAAACCCTATGCTTCCTTGAAGGAATTTTCTGCAAATACCAAGACCCTGCTGCTTAGCCTGCTAAATCAACTGCTAGAGAGGCATCAGATCTGCTTTCACTATGGCTTGCTCAATACAGATGTTAGACTTTACATAATGCTTACCTCAAACCATGATTTTCAGATTCGCTTCAGCCCATAGTATTGCCTCTATGTCTGGAAACTATTCAGAGTCAACATCTTTAAAGGATCTAGAATATCCTTTGTTTGCTGCTATCTCTGGCCAGGGAACATTAATGAAGCCCCCTTCTGAGAACTATACTACATGCCACATTTTATGTATAGTATGCAACTTGGTTTGGAGATTTCTTTACTTAAAGCAGGGGTCCCCAACCTTTTTCATTCCACAGACTGGCTGGGGAAGGCAGGGCAACCTCGCGCACATGCACGAATGAGTGTGCGTGCGTGCATATGCACAAACAGGAGCGTGCATGCGTATGCACAAACAGTGACGCACTTGTGTGCATGCGCAAACAGCAGTGTGATGCTTGTGCAGGCAGGCGCGTACTTATACAAATGGCACAACTCACATGGGTGTGCTGGAGTGCATGCGCATGCGCATGTCAGCTGTGCAGGGGTGAGTGTGGGCAGGAGGTGGGGCAGGAGGTCTGTCTCCACAGCCTGGTCTGGATCACATGCATTACTTTTCAGGGAAGACAACAGGGGTCTTCTTTCTTGGGGGGGGATTGACAGTGGCATTTAGGCAGTCCCAAATATTATACACTTTGGAGCTCATTGACATATTTAGTTAATTGTGCTTGTTTAAGATAGATACAGTTTGTTTTGCAATTTCCAATTTTCTGGCATTTTATATAACCTTGTTTCTGTGTCTCTCCGTGTGAGGAGCCAGATGAGAGAAAGGCTGTTTCAGTCTACAGCAATTGTTAAAAACCCTGTTATAAAATCAAGATTGATAGCGTGTAGATTCAATTCCATCGGCTTTCATGGATTTGTATTTTGCCATATTGAGCCGGGAACTGGCCTATGATATAATTAGTAGAAATGGAGATCGCCAGCCCCAAGGGTGTTATAGTGTAGTTGTTTTTTCCCTTCTATTGTAACCCCAGTTAATTGATTGCCAATTAACTGGAATTAAACACAATTGTAAATTCTACTGCAGATATCCGCAAACATTTCCTCTGAGCTTTAGCAATCAATTAACTTTACTTACAGCTGGAGTAGTTAAGTCTCTAGCAAAAAAAACACTCTTCCATAGCATAACTGCTCAAATGTGAGGTGCAGGGAGAGAGTGGATGTCAGGAAAAGGCAGTAGGAAAAAAAATCTACCAATTGAACTGTCATTCAAAAGTTTGTATTTTGTTTGCTAAGCAATAGTGCATGGAAAGTATAGGCACGTTTGACAAGGAGAGTCTTGTCAGTGAGCAAGAAATTAAAAGCTAGTGATATAATTCCACATAGAAACATTGTGAGCTCAGAGACACACAAAGAAATAGTATTAATAGTGTTTTATTCCTCCTCTTTGATGCATACCTTAACATGGTTGAGGGGGCTGAATGTGTCAGAAAAGCTGACAGCAATGACATCTGGAGGCTAGACTCCACTATGAGCCTGGACTCTTTGCACGTAAATACAGAGATTGGAAAAGTTTCTTTTTTGGACTATACCTTCCATAAAATTATGGTTAGTATCTTAGTGCTTCTTCTGGTTGCAGGCATTAGTGAATTTCATGCAAAAAAACCCCTAACACTTTCAAGTTCTAGTTTCTTTCTGTTGTCTTCAGTGATTGAGATGGTGGGCTTATTTGTTGTCATATAGCTTAGAAGTCAAATAGCATTGCAGACCAAAACAAGTAACTTTTAAAACTCTGAATAGACCTGTGCATCTTGTGACCCACTAAGATGAACTTAATAGCTGCCTAGTGACTTAATTATTTAAAAGAGTAATATAAACATTCTAATACTACTTTTTAAGAAGTGGGAGGTGAATGTATTTAAAGCAGTGCTGATGGTTCAATGGCAGCCACATTTTCTTGTGTCTTTCCAAGCCAGACAATTAGGGTCTTGTTCTTCTGAGGAAAGAAGCTTGGTGTTTCTTTTTTGCTTGCTTAGTTCCAGTTAGTGTGGTCATTTATGCATCACCCCAAAAAGAAGACATGTATCAACAACAAAGAGGTCAAAAAAGATATAGTGTTTCTTTGTTGGCCTGCATGTGCATGCACATACACAGAGATGGAAATTTAAAGATATTCACACCATAATGGGGAAAACCATGACCAAGCGCCATGTATACCTGCTCAATCTGCTGTCCAGGTGCTGATCAACTGTTGATGATCAATTTCAATTCCCCAGTGTTCCTTTCTCATATTTCTTTCTCTTTTAGTCAGGACTTGGATTGAACAGTCTTGGATTAAACTCATATAAAACTTACCTTAATCTTTCCTGAAACAGAGGGTACTTGTCTGTAAAAATAAGCTACTCTGTTTCCACATTTAGAATGTACCAGAACTATAGGAGAAATATTTCATAATTAATTGGATGTTCCTTTTAAAAAGCTTGGCACAGTTTCTCAGGAGCATAGGAAAAAGCATAGACTTACCACATTGTGGCTGAAGAGTTAATCATCTGGTGAACCTTAGCTTTTATTTGAAAATTAAAAACAAAAATGTTTCTAACCCTTAATCAGATATACCTAAAATCTGAGCAATTGCTGCTGAAATCAGTGTGAAATTTGAATAAGATTTTCACTGCTTGGAAGGATTGTTATCTTGTGACAGTGAAAACCCACAGTAATATGCAAAATATTAATACTTTTTAAAAAGAAGTATTACGCAAATTTGCTCCTCGATAATTTTTAAAATCGCAAAATTTGTATGATCTAAATGCATAGTTGTTGAAAAATAATAATAATGCAAAATAATGGCTAGCTGGAAGTGAAAAGACTTGAAGTATAATACATTTCTGTTGACTGTGGATGTATATCTCACCCAAATCAAGCAAAACATCAGGGACAGCTTGCTTTATTTTGATGACAGCTCTTAATAAATTTCCATTTCCAGGGTGTTCTGTGTATCATAATCTAATCACATCCTCTACTAAATAGGTACAGTAGTTGTGCTCAGCACATTCAGAAGAACAGAATACTAACTCTGCTCAACCTCCCTCATGCTACATAGAAGGCAGAGATCCTTTGCGCCTCCTCTTGACTAAAAGATGTCAGAAGCTCAGAACTAATGCTATTTCCATGTAGAACTCTGCTTGTGATTCTCATGGTATGTTTTTCAGATGATAGTAGTGTTCCCATCCCTTTGTTTATCTTAGACACATTATTTCAGTCATCCCAAATAATAAAACTTTTGTGGCACTTCTGTGAGGTCTTAGGCACCACTGAATAGCAGTATTAATGCTCTTTTTGTCAGATTAAGGGCCCAGTTCAGATGAAGGCAAACTAATTTTAGTTCCCATTAAAGTTAGTGGGTCAAATAACAGCTAATGGATTCCACTGATATCAATTAGATTTAAGCACAAAGTGCTTTTTTCCTGTATTGAGGACCTTTTTATTTTCACTGGAACCTTACCGTGACATCCAGTATTATGTGACTTTTAAAAAACATGGAAGGAGAGAAATGCCAGTCAAAAGACATCTTGGCCATGGCATGTTGCCCTACCGTTGTGAGATTGAATACCCGTCTCAGACAGCAGGATATTGTTGTGACAGTTAGCAGCAAGGACAATTAGCAGCAATGTTGTTACTGTTTCTGAAAGGAACATCCTCTTGAATAACTGGGCCAACTATCAAATAAACATTCAAATCAGTGGTGAACAACAGAACCTCAGTAGCTTACTTACCTCTCTGGTCAGGACTCCCAGTTCCTTCATTTTAATAATGGGTAGTTGGCTTAGTAAATTTAAGAGTCAAATGGTCATTCTGGTTATCACTATCTAGTTAATAATTGGAAACTCACCAGTACATATGAAAATGCACCATTGGTGGTGAAAAATATTATATATTATTTTTTTAAAAAATCCAAGGAGTGTCCATATTATACTGTCAAAAGGGAAAGGTGCAGCAAAATTAAATCTGGTGGAGAACAAACTTCTAGGGCTTCAATCAAGTTAATAGCCAGCCATAAGGATGGTGAAGAGCTAACACAGTCAAATGTAAAATAGCCAGAATTGTAACTCCAGACAGTATAATATGCTTGAACCCAGTTTGTTAAACAACTGCTGGGTAGCCATTTCAGTGCCTATAACATCCATTGGCCAGAACATAATAGACTAGGGTGTAGGTAAATCTCTTATGGAGCGATTGGTTACAAATTGTGTTTCCCAGATATTTCCAGATTACTTTGCACATATTTCTGCATGTGCAATGGCTAGTGCTTCCCTTTGAAAAAAAGAAAAAGAAAAGAAAATTCAGGAAAGAAGCCTGCACTGCTCCTAGAAAGGTCACATGGGGATGTTCTCTTGTACTGCAACTGCTTTTTCATAGCTAAAGTTCTGGTTTTAGTTAGGAATGGGAAGCATTTGGCTCCCTAGATATTGTTAGAGTGTCATTCCCTTCAGCTTTAGCCAGCGTAATACACAATGAACAAATTTGGGAAGTCTGACAAAATTCAGGAAAGAAGCCTGCACTGCTCCTAGAAAGGTCACATGGGGATGTTCTCTTGTACTGCAACTGCTTTTTCATAGCTAAAGTTCTGGTTTTAGTTAGGAATGGGAAGCATTTGGCTCCCTAGATATTGTTAGAGTGTCATTCCCTTCAGCTTTAGCCAGCGTAATACACAATGAACAAATTTGGGAAGTCTGACAACATGTGGAAAGCGTAATACACAATGAACAAATTTGGGAATTGAAGTCTGACAGCATGTGGAAGGTTACAGATTCTGCATCTCTGTTTTGCGGGATGCACAAAATGTGTCCATACCAGAGCCTTAGCTCTTGAAAATTCAAAGTGACACTTTTCTTTTCCTGGCCCAAAACAAATTGCTACTCAGATGTGCGGAACTTTGCTATAATGGACGGGTAAGGGTTAATATCCTCACACATGAAAGATCTAAAACAAGCAATGTGTGCTCCCTTGAGTGGTTGCTTAGGAAGTGCATATGTTGCAGAAGGACATTGTGTCTGAAGGGAAACAGAACAAGAAACTGAGCTGTCCCAAATGCATCTGATTTGTTAAAGAAACCTCAAGCTCCTATAAGAACAGAGCTTTCTGTGCTGGTGAGACCAAACTCAGATTCTTCTAATATCTGGAAGAAGAAAAAAAAATCAGGCTTCTACTTTATATCATCATCTTCATTATCTTAATACTGTAGAGCTGGAAGAGACCCTATAAATTCCATAATAGCACATCTCTGTTAGAAAGGTGGAACATTTTAGTACAGTGATGCCTCAATTTACCACCATAATCCGTTCCAGAAGATGGATGTAACTCAAAATGGTTCTAAATCGAAGTGCAATTTACCATCGGAATGCATTGAAATGCAATTAATCCGTTCTGGCCAAAGAAAAAAAATCACACGCACACCCTAAAAAAATAATCACTGCAAGATTCATTGGAAATGCGATTAATCCTTTCCGGCCGAAAGGGAGGGGGAGAAAAGCAATCAAGCGTGCAAGTACCCCCATGCACGGACACACACACACCACGTGCCTCCCCATTCATGGATGCCGGCAGTGGCAGCCCCCCCCCCAGGTCCTTGGAAGAATGACCTTCAACAAAACCAATCCCTGGCATTAAAAAGGTTAGGGACCACAAAAACATTATTCTGCTAAATGCATTGGTATTAGTCGGTCCTGGCAAATAAACAAGCTTAGGGAAGAAATATTGCATTAAAAAAGAAAACCTCAACCATGTCACTTCTAATATGCCAAATATTCTAGCTAGTTTGGGGAAATAAATTCTCACTTGCTACAGATGGCAAAGCTAATAATGCACATTTAAAAGCCAGCACTATTCATGTTTTTCTACCTGGACGCATACATCTGGGATTTTATTTTTTTGTTGGCAAAACAAGAAAGTGTATCAGAGTGATACACTCACACCCTTTACAGCATTATAATTCTATGAGATTCTTTGATTAGTGGGGGGGGAACAGATTTAAAATTAAAATGGAGTACTGCTTTCCAAACAGAGTAATACTTGCTAAGAATATTTGGACTATAGTCTACCAGCAGACCACCTTTAGGTTTTCATTAGACTGTCTGTCCCAGTGGTTCCCAACCATGGATCTCCAGTTCTTCTTGAACTACAACTCCAGAAATCCTGGGCAGCACAACTAATGGTGAAGGCTTGTGAGAGTTTTAGTTCAAGAACATCTGGGGATCCAAGTTTGGAAACTGCTACCTAGCTGCACTGCCTGTCTCCTGGGTTTCTTTTTAAAGAATACAAAATATTGCTTTCATTTTGCAGGGCACTTCTTATATTTTTCAATAAGGTTGCATTCTCAGGATGGGTTATCACAGATAAGTTACACATTCAACTGTTCAGAGACCCCAAGTATAAAATCTTATTTTATAAATTTAAGGTGCATTGGATTCTTTGGGGAATCTGGGATTCTGATATATCTACTTCTTAAAACTGCCAAAAGTTAAGTTGACCGATGTTTGCTTTAGCTGCATGTGGTATCACCATGATATACCTACAAAATATTTGACTACATTCCTGAATGTTGACAGACATACACTGTAGGAAACCTGACTTCATTATACTCACAGTAAACTCACTGAATTCAATGTGGCTTTAGTTAATTTATGACCACGTTAACTCCTATTGATTTCACCAGATATGTAGTATAACTAAAATTTTCATCCAATTCTGTAGTGACACCCAAATTTGAATAAAGGGCTATTTACATTATCCTCACCAAAAAACCCTTCTTTCTAATATTTCTACACTTGTCATCCAAAAGTATATATTTTCTTCATATTTAAATGCAAGTTGAGTAATATTTTCTGCCTCTACTCTCTTTTTATAATTTTACAGGAAGCAAAAGGAGACTTTTCAAGGTGAGTTTTGCATGAATATTCTTGTGATTATCATAGCACTGGACTGCAATTCTATAGTATAGCTCCTAGAACTGTTATTATTGGTTATTGTGTTTTTTTCATCTCTTCATTTTTTTCCAAAAATGCATCCAACGGCTTGAACTAAAATATGAAATTAAATAGTTTGCTTATGTATTATTTGTTTGTTTTATTTATAGGCTACCTTTCTCCTGATTGGGGGGGGGCAAGGCAGTTCACAATATTATAAGGAATAAAATTAAAAATGTAATAAGTTAAACATTAAATAAATACTTAAACTATAAGGCAACTTAAGCTCTAAGAAGGCATTCAGGGATTCAATCATGACTGTTAAAAGCCTGCCTGAAAAGATGGGTCTTCAGTTGTCTGTAAAAGGATAAAAGAGAGGGGACCAGCCTGATCTTCCCATGTTATATGTTATGTATAAATGCTTGACATCTTTGTGAAGTTCAAGAGATAGAATAGCCTTTCCAACCCATTCAGCAGAAGAAAACTTCTAAGGAAATGTGTCATTTTTACTATAATTTATAGAGCTGTCATAGTTTCTTCAAAGTATCTTATAGTTATATACAGTCATGAACCGCTTTACGATTGCCCCGCATTACGACAAAACCGCATTACGATGACGTTTTTGTGATCGCTTTTGCGATCGCAAAAGGATGGTCTGAATAGGCTTTTTTTGCTTTGCATCGATCGGTTCCCTGCTTTGGGAACTGATTCTTCACAAAATGACAATTTTCCTACAGCTGATCGGCCGTTTCAAAATGGCCATCGGGTAAATAAAATGGCCCCCCACTGTTTTCTGGGATGTATTCCTTGCAAGACAGCCACCGAAAATGGCCACCCTATGGAGGATCTTCTCTGGACAGTGAGTTTTTAGCCCATTGGAACGCATTAAACGGGGTTTAATGCGATTCAATGGGTTTTTTATTTTCGCATTACGACGTTTTCGTTCTACAGCGATTTTGCTGGAACGAATTAATGTCGTAATGTGAGGCGCCACTGTAATTTTTAGCCGCCTAGAGTGGTCGTATAGACCAGATGGGCGGGATACAAATCAAATCAAGCAAGCAAGCAAGCAATCAATCAATAAGTTCTCTTTCATGATCTGGTTTTAAAAAACACTTGCAAGAATAAAGTAGACATGAGGCTAAGTAAAATTGATTACAAACATGACAGCACAGATTTAGTCACTGAGCCTAGTCCAGCACAATTTAGGAAAAACAATGATTAGGCAGCAACTGTTAAGGAATCTGCCCTTTGACTAGGCTGAAAGTGTACCTTAAAAACCAGTCACACAGTCAGGTCTGTTCCATTCTGGAAGTGACTGGGCCCAGAGGACAATTGGTGTTGTGTGGCAGGAAAGGAGGATGACAAACACAAGTAGGATGATATCATTATGGACCCATTCCCAGCTAGAAGGAGGATGGAGATGGTAGCAGTGCCTAACACAAACAAAACACCATGAGAGTCGTGGTTTCCTTCTGTTGCCAGAAGAAGCTGCTGCTGCAGCCCCTGCAACCATCGGAGACCAATTCTATTGAGCTGCTTCCTCACAGCCTGACTCTGAGGGTTGTGACTCTGATATGGGAAGAGTGCTTTAATACAGGCAGCTTTCTTGGATCCTCCTCCCCATTTAGGAAGCAGGAAAGCTACACTGAGTAGCAGCAGTTCTCCTGAGCAAGAGAAACCCTGCCAGGGTTAAAGGGTGGACGCTAGAAAATTTGCCACTCCCATGACCCTCTCCCTGAGGCAACTCCCTTACTGAGGCTAATGGCAGCATTTGCTCCAGAGACGTCACAGTTGCACTGAAAATGCAAAGAAGTTGTATTTGCATTTCCCTTTTTAGTTCTGGCTCCAGAAGGCTAATCCACAGGGCTTTCAATTGTCATGCTTTCAAATTTAGTACTTTCAATGCAGCCCAACAAAACGTCGTCCTTTTTTTTTTTAAGTATAAAATGTGCCATCACATACACTTCATTCTCCAGACTTTAAGAACTCAAATATATGCAGGCAACTTTTGGCCATAGAAAGTGCTGAGAATCACTTTCAGAATCTCAAAACAGCTTGTGAAATCCTGACACGTTTGTGGCAAGAGGCACATGCCTGTTCTTGCTTTCATTTCTCAATTCATACTGTTTAAAATTAGCTTAGGCATTAGTAGTACTGTTTGGCTAAAAGGGTATGAGAAATAGTTAGGTATTTTACTGTGTGAATTGGTTGGTTGGAGCAACAGGATGAAAAGATTGCTGTCAGCTTGTGTCACTTTTACTGTAATTTTTATAAGCAAAGCACACTACCCAAAACTAAAAGAATTTTGCTAGAATTTTGGAGTATCTATTTCTTACCAAGCACATATGAAGAAGTAAAGAACTGTACAGATTTTCAAGTTTATGTTTGTATGTCACAATTTTGCCTGTTTCAATTCTCGTCTCAGTTTTTCAGCATCCATAGTTTACAGGCCATCCCTGTATTCCTAAACTACAGTGGTGCCCCGCATAACGAGTGATTCGTTTAAGGATGAATCCGCATAGCGATGTGTTTTTTGAGATCGCAAAAGCGATCACATTGCGATGTTTCTAATGGTAAAACATCGCTTTGCAATGATTGGTAAGCGTTTCGCTTACCGATTTTCGCATAGCGATGTTTTTTAACAGCTGATCGGAGGTTCCAAAATGGCCGCTGGGTAAAGAAAATGGCTGCCCAGTGTGTTTTCGTGCCCTTTTCCTCGCTTACTGGGCAGCGAAAATGACGGCCGCATGGAGGATTTCTGCATAACGGTGAGTTTTTCGCCCATAGGAACGCATTAAACGTGTTCTAATGCGTTCCTGTAGGCTTTTTTGCCCCGCATAGGGACGAATCCACATAGCGATGATTTTTTCGGAACGGATTATCGTCGCTATGTGGGGCACCACTGTACTTGTAAACACCATTCATGTGCAGCATTCATCTAGACCAGTGTTTCCCAGTTTGGGTCCCCAGATGTTCTTGGACTAAAACTCCTCCAAATCCTGGCTAGTGGTGACGGTTTCTGGGAGTTTCAGTTCAGGAAAATCTGGGGACCCAAGATGGGGAACCACTAATCTAGACAAACAACTAATCAGTACTTCTGTAGCATTGCCCATTCCCTTTTCTGCCCAACCCTTTTCCATCTCCATTCCTAGCCATCTTTGAATTTCTAAAAGTTATGTCTCACGAGTGTTCTAAAACATCTCCCAACCCAATGCCAAGGGAGGTCTCTGTTAGCTGAAGCCAAAGGCCTTAAAAGTATAGCTGTCTGCAGGCTTGGGGCTGAAACAAAGTGCCCTCTGGTGGACTTCTTCCTATGGTCTCAGTTCATTCATAGTCCTACCTATTGCAGACTTGCTGAAATGATGGAACGTTACTTACAATTAACTTAAATCCTGATTATTTCAGTGATCTATTGTAAGTAGGAAAGCCACTGGATTTGGTCCTATTTAACTGGATACCCCTTCATGGATTGCTGCCATGTTGTGGTGCAGGGGCTTGAGTAATTCAGAGAAGCTATGGGCTATGCCGTGCAAGTACTCCCAAGATGGACAGGTCATAGTGGAGAGTTCTGACTAAACACGATCCACCTGGAGTAGGAATTGGCAATGCCACTCCAGTATCTTTGCCAAGAAAACCCCATGATCAAAAACAAAAGGCTAAAAGATATGATGCTGGAAGATGGGCCCTCAGGTTGGAAGGCAGCCAACATGCTACTGAGGAAGAGCGGAGGACAAGTACAAGTAGCTCCAGAGCTAATGAAGTGGTTGGGCCAAAGCCGAAAGGACACTTAGCTGTCGACGTGCCTGGAAGTGAAAGGAAAGTCTGATGCTGCAGAGAAAAATACTGAATAGGAACCTGGAAAGTAAGATCTATGAACCTTGGGAAGTTGGAGGTGGTCAAACAGGAGATGACAGTCATTGAAACAACCAACATGAATTTGACACAACTCTAGGAGGCAGTGGAAGATAGGAGGGCCTGACATGCTCTGGTCCATGGGGTCACGAAGAGTCAAACATGACTAAATGACTAAACAACAACAACAAGCTGTTCATGAGCATGACAGCAGAATTTGGATTTCCCATAGTTGTCTGGAGAATCACTAAATCATGGACATTGTGAGATGGTTTCATTATTTTAAAATTTTTAACATCATCATCACCAACAACAATAGAATAAGAAAAATTAGATTAAAAGTGCAAAAATTAATGAACATGCATCACTCACTACATCTAAAACGTGATGTGGACAGATTATATTCAATTCAGAAAATTTAAGGTTGTGAATTACTACAAATACAAAAGGAAGTAGAGAAGAAAAAAGAAGCCCTAAATGTATTAAAAGAAGTTGAAAAAATTAATTAAAGCAGTGAAAATGGAAAGCATCTTGAAAACAACAGAAATGAATGTTAAATATAAAAAAAATTATTTGATAAAATAACTGGAAAATAAACCACTGCATGGACAGTATTTGAGAAATATTGATGGAAAACATGATCACAATTTAACTTAGACATGGCTATAACTGGTACTTGTCAAGAAAGAAATCGAAGGCTTAATTTTTGCTGCACAAGAACTCCAAACTAATGTCATGAAAGCTAAAATGCAAGGAATTAGTGTAAACAGCAAATGTCAACTATGCCAAGAAAAAGATGAAAGTGCATCACACCTCATCTGTGAATTTTCCAAAATTGTACAGACAGACTACAAAGTTATACACAGTAGATTTGCAAAATTAATATGCTATACTGGTCATTATGTAAAAAATATAAACTGCTGACATCCAATAGAAAGAACTCACTTGTGGATGAAACACATTTCAGTGGTTCCCATAGTCATTCGGGCATTGGGAAAAATGCTGAGGAATTTAATAAAACATTATAACCAGCTGCAGATCTCTGAAATAAAACCATCAGAGCTGCAAACAAATATTAGGAGCAGTATACATATTTACACTGATATTTAACTGATGCT